TCAAACTCAACTCTCTGGAGCTGATCTAAATTTTTAGCTCCTTGTAAATTTCCATCACAATCACATTGATTTGTGTTTTCAGTTCCCCTGTTTGGTCCTTGAATCACACAGTCTGGAGCACAAGTGGCTCCAGTTCAATTATGATGAGTGCTGTTTGAGGCAAAGGCCTCTTCATTCAGGTTGTGAAGGAGATGATGTGAACTGACTCACAGCTTCAGTGGCCTTGAGTTCTCTTCAAAAGAAGAAGGATGCAGTTCTTTCACTTCTGGTTTAGGTTTTTTTTCCTTTTCAGCTCATTGACAGTAAAAACCTCAAACCTCTCTATTCTCTCACTTCTTTCCCATTTCTCTCTCTCTCCTTTCTGTCATCTTTTGAAAACAATTCAATGAAAGATAAAATATCCCAACTGTCCCTCTGCTTCTTCAAGGACTACCTGCAAATAGTTGAATCACCGATGGACTTTGGCACTGTTCTCAACACGCTGACAGAAGGAAAGTACCAGTCTCCCATCGAGCTCTGCAAGGATGTCAGGCTCATTTTCAGTAATTCCAAAGCTTACACGCCCAGTAAGAAGTCTCGGGTGAGGGTCACAAACGCACACATTTACAGCTCATTATGCCTATAATATAGATTTTATGGGTCCATAAAATTAAGTCCTCAAATTAATTTTTTTTAACTTCTTCAGATTTATAGTATGAGCCTAAGGCTTTCTGCCCTGTTTGAGGAGCATATCAGCCCCATCCTGGCTGACTACAAAGCCATCCACGGCCTGACTGATAAACTGACCAAACAAGGCACCGACAGACAGACGCGACACACTACAGACAGACAGACACGGCACGTAATGAAGAGGAGGAGGAGGAGAAGCGAATCTCCTGCAAGCAGCACCGCGTCCAGGTAGATGAAATTTAACTTTCTCTGCAGCTTTAAATATATTTTTAACCTGATGTCACACTCGGTTACTTTTTGATTTCATTTCTAGCCCAGAGAGGAAGAGACGCGTATCGTCCAGAGTGAACGCAAAGAAGGAGCCTTCGCCCGTCCCTTCACGACCCTCCTCTCTGAGGCAGAGCATCCCCGTCAAGCAGCAGCCGCCTCAGATGGTCAACGGCAAAGCAGAAACGCCAGCTCCAGGACGCACGCGTAGTGCTGCGCGCCATACTACACAGTCGCTACCCTCCTCATCCTCATCACATAACGTCACGAACAGCACGCCGAGCACAACAGGTATCATCACAGGTGTTCAATAAATACGATAACGCTCCAGGAAGTCACTGCAGCAGGCAAAGGAGCAGTCGGCCACAGCATGTTGCTGTTACATTTTGGTTTTTATACACACACAACATAAGTTTGTGAGTCCGAGTCGCTGACAGTCACCTTTTGTTACCTTTGGACAAAGCTAGGCTAACTATACGCTGCCTGTTTTTCAGCCTTTATGCTAAGCTATGCTAACCAAAGTGATGTTGATTTTCTTATCTGATGCTGGACAAGAAAGCACACTACATCTCCTCGCCTGTTACCTCCTTCTCCTCCATCTCCTTCTCATTAACAGAGTCGACTCGCTCGTTGCGGGCTCATAACTCTGTGCCAGCTTCGTCATCACCAGCTCCTGAGAAGGTGACACCTTCCCAACCCACAGAGAGTAGCAGCGGCAGCACTCGACGGAAACTCAGGACACCTGTTCGACACACACCAGGTAAGAGATCACGTCACAGTGAAGTGACCGTGTAGAGCAAAGGTTTACGATCAGGACGTAAACATTTACGTTTCTGTTCTTTTCCATCTCAGGCTCTCCTGGCAGCACTTCATCTCATAGCACAGTCCACCTGAATGGCCACGGTAGTCATGTGACCCTAGGTGTGGGAAGAAGGGGGAGGAAGTCGAGAATAGAGCCGCCAGTGAGTCCACCAGAGGTGTCAACCCCGGCCAGCCCTTCAAGACCGCGAGGTCGCCCACCTGGCAAGAAGAGAGGCAGGAAGAGCAAGCAGGAGGCGGAGGACACAAGACAGAGCGGCAGCCGCAGGAGCTTCACCCCCGACGACGAGGTCGACCCGTCTACAGGCGACGAAGGCGGCATGTCTTCTGCACAGGAAGTGTTGTCGGACTCTGGCATGGCGTCGACGCCGAGACGGCGTGGCCGGCCCCGAGTGGTGAGAATCGAGGAACCCGCTCCTCCTCCCGAGTCACCGGAGCCCTCGCCACTGAGGAGGAGCAGCAGAAGGGCCAACGAAGAGGGCACGCCTCCGCTCCAGACCCAACGACCCAGCCGGAAAGAACCTCCTAAGGAGGAGGAGGAGGCAGGCGATGAGGCAGGAGGGTCCATGCGCACACGTAACCAAGGTCGACGGTCAGCCTGGTACATGGAGGAGGACTCCGAGGAGGAGCAGAGGCAGCTGCTGTTTGAGGACTCATCAATAACCTTTGGCACCTCCTCAAAAGGGCGTGTCCGCAAACTGACAGAGAAAGCCAAAGCCAACCTGATAGGCTGGTAACAGAGGAGCCACGCAGGCTGGGACATGTTCGCTCGTGCGTTGGAGGACTGCGAGGGCGGAGTGGAGGAAGTCACGCTTAGCGGTGTATGCATTTGTGTGTGCGTATGTGTGCGTACATCTGTGGAGTCGCTGGTTCAGCTGCTGCTATTTGAAGCTGAGGAGAGCAAAGAGTTACCAGCCCACTCCTTGTCGCTGCCCCCCCCCTTCACCTTCCTCTCTTGCCCAGTAAGCACATCTGTACGACATCCGATGGCATGTTCGCGTGTTCCAGCTCCTCCTACATTATTGATCCATGTTGGATCCCGCAGGAGCGCGACTCACATCATGTCGACGGTGTTGTGACTCCTCTCTTGTGAACCACTCTGTCTCCTTCTGACCTTGTACACAGTTTGCTGTCAGATAAAGTTGTTGGTAGTTGGAGACTTTTAGTACTTGAAAAAAAAAATCACGAGGAGGCCAGATGTATCTTATCGAACTTTTACTATTTTTGAGGACTTTTCAAGCGTCTCCGCCGGACAGATGGAAGATGCCCACGGAGCTGATCGCGGTAATGGACGACGGGACCGCTGGCCTAACAACGTCCTTTGCCCGCTTCCCCCCTCTCTCCCTCCCTTCCTCATTGTTCCCAGTCTTTTTTTATACAACCTGCTCTCTGCTTTTTCTAAGATTTGTACGTGATCACTGCTCTCTGTTTTGGAAGTCTTACACGTTGGCTGACCTATCTGTCTGCGCTAAAATACCAAATGGTGTACCTTTTCGGAGGTACTGTAGATCTGTAGGTTTTGTTTACTATTGATGTGTGTGGGTGTTTCTTTTCCTTTCTTTTCTCTTTGCATGTTATTAGAAAGAGGAAGCAACGTTTTTTTCCTTTTCCTGATGCTGTTTTTACTGTGGTGAGGAGGAGAAAAAGGATGCATGGGTGAAAAGGGTCATTTATGTCTCTCTAGTTCATGTTTCAAAGCGTCCTCAACATTAGCAATACCTTGTGCCTTTATGTCTTTTGTATGGGTGTGTGCGTGCATGTAGGTGTATGCGTGCTTGGCTTCTGCCCTGCAAAGTACATGTGCCTGTTTGTGTACGAACTTAGTTGTGACTATGCGGGTAATTGAAGGAATGCGTGTATGTTTTTTTTCGTTTGTTTGTTTTTTTAATAACACAACTGAGCGTGTCATTTCAGCGTGCAAACAGTGGCATACAGTTTGATCGTTGTGAAAACCTCTCAAAGAAATGTATTTATAGCAGCTGAAAAGAAATTTACTGTTGTTGTAAGCATACCATTACTCATGTCGATATATTATCCTATAACCAACCTATTGTCAGTTTATACCTAAGGTACAGAGGGGCGGAGCTTCGGGTGACTAGCTTTGAGATGCACTTACCAGAGACCGGTTATCAATGCAGTCTTAGGGAGTAACCATGTGTATTTTAAAATCTTTAAACATATAAAGTTTTAAAGTGTCGATATGTTTCCACGGTGACTCCAAACTTGTACGCGCACACATAGACACACGCAAATCTGTCTCGCATGTTCTAGCACTTTCTCACGCCTGCTGCAAACAGGAAGGAGACGGATCAAACTGGGATCGGACTGAATTTGAACTGAAAGCAAACCGGAGAAAGTCTTACCTTCATCTTTCTGATTGTGTGCCTTTGCTACTCTGGCATATTGAATCCTTGGTTTCTCCTCTTCGGGGCCTTTATTTTTTTAGTGTTTGTTATCGTTTCGGATCTCCCGGTCCCGCTCGTCACTGGGTTCAGAGAAACTGGACTTCTGGGAGCGGATTAGACCTGACAGGCTCGTGAGGAAAATAATGAAAAGACCGAAACATTAACATTTTGACGGGACAAACATATTATGTCACTCTTTGTACACACAGGTGAGAGTTTATAAAGATGGGTTTTGTTTTTTTGTGGGGGGTTTTCTGTTTTGTTTGGGGTTTTTTTTCCCCACAGCACGGAGTGAGTGAATGCCAGAATCCATGAGTTTCCACTCGTGTTGCAGGACTGACTGGACGGAACTGGATGGTAGCATCAATATACACCTGGTTCTTTTCATAGGTCTCGTCACATATTACTAAACATATATCTCATCTGTTCATCTTTATTGTCGATGTCTTTTTTGTTGTTGTTATGGATTTGTCAATGCCAAATTCTGTCTTTGGGCACTGAAGTTGTAGAACACGGCTTTTGAATGTGTTTTATTTTCTAAAGAGATTTTATTGTCTCCATCGTGAGTGTGTTGAGCTGTTTTACATATGACGCGTTGGCTGTTTTCTGTTTGTGTCCCTGCCATAAAGGACGATATACAAGTGGCCGCATATGTGAAGATGGGTTTTTTATCCTCTGCCACACCTATTTCAGATGTTCTGGTGGTTCATAATTGCTTTGTTTATGCTGTGTTTGTGAAGAGTTTCATTCAAAAAATTGCCTAAAAACACTGACACTATCCTCCACAAATGACATGAAAATGAATTTTATTCTTGAGGTTTCAAGGTTATATTTGCCTATGATAATATTTATGTTGTGGAGAAACTTTATTGTAATAATTCATGGCTTTAATAAAAAAAAAAACACTCTAAAAACTCTTCAGAAACACAAAGATTTAAAGATTTTTATCATGTGATGAAAGCAGAGATGGGCTTGCTTTGACCCAGGATTCTCAAATTTGAGGTATGACTTTACTTTTAAAGGGGACCTTTTACTCTGACGTCCATGTCCATGTATTCTGTTGTAATGGACTCCATTACAATAGTTTTGCCTAATTCACAGTTCAGAATTATCCTTTTTACCTTCTACTGGACCTTGGTGTAGTTCTAGTTGATCCAGTGTCTTAAACAAGCTCTCCCTCTGCTGTTATGCCAGCTTTCCTTTTATTGTGTGTCTCCTGCAAACAAACAATCTGTGGGCGGAGCTTCTGTGCTCAAATGACCGTATAAGGAGGTGTCGGCTTTCACTGACATCATACAGAGCCAAGAAATGAAAAAAACTTTTGGAAACAAAGTGTTTAGTGGCTCAGATGGGCCACCATAACATATCCTGATGTCATTAATATAACAGTATATAAATATATCAGAAAATAAGAAGTTTAATAGATCCCCGTTAATGTGTTTACATGAGCCAGCTGAAAAATAAACAGTCCTCCAGAACTACATGGGACTGTGAGATATCGGTTACACGGCCATATTAAATTAGGAACTACTGGTGTGCTTCATAGCCATTTAATCCCCATGCAATAAGGTGATGGTAAGGATACTGTATATTTTTTCCATCTATTTGTTTTTCTTCACTGAAATACAGTCAAAGTGGGAATGCAGTGGGTATCAGATGTGGTTATTTCTGCTGTGACACCCTGTTCATCAGATCTTCACACTACCTGTACTCATCGCGGGTGAAAGTAGATGCGCTGATATAGCGTAGCTGGTCATATTACCTTAACCGTGGCAGATCAATGTGTGCAACCTAATCATTTTAAAGGGGCCTTAAAAAGAACTCACTGGTGTATAAGCAAGACTTTGGGTGTCAAGCCATTCAAACAGACATCACACACATCTGTATCCAGCTCTTTATACGGTGGAGGTATATATGCTGTTAGGTTTTCAGATTCTAATGTAGGATGGTGGTGTTACTGGTTCAGAGCAGCACCTCTAGCTTGACGCTACATGTAAACATTCACACTGGCCTGTGCTAATGTGTGGCAGAGCTGTGCTGTTTTGGCATCAAAGTCTTTGGTTAATGGTCACTGTGTGTGTGTGTGTGTGTGTGTGTGTGTGAGAGAGAGAGAGAGAAGGGGCTTCATGTTAGCCACCAGGAAGAATTTTGGGTATGTTTTCAGAAGAGGAGGGGAAGGGGTCTTTTTCATGTGAATTGATGAGGTCGTCTTTGTTAGTTTGGATACTTTTTTTTAAATATAAATATATATATAAAGGAATTAATGCAAAAAAAGAAGCATAAGGCTAGAATGTATGTGTAGGGGAGTACTGCTGTCCTGTTAGTTCATACCAATATTTTAAGTGAATAAAAAGTTGTGTTTCCATATTCACTTTTAATGCTTGTTGCTTCTTTGTTGTATAAAGATAAAATAATAATGATAATGAAGAAACACTCGAGCTGTAGGTGGGAAATGAGGTGCAGAAGAATGAACAACACTCCCACCTAGCGTTGGAAACGGTAAGTGCACAAAAATCACCTCCCGCTCCTCGGAGCCCACACCTCCGGCTCTTCCTGACGTGGCGAGCCGCTAAAGGTCCTTGGGTACTCCGTGGGCTGCGGCTATTGGTTAGAATACCTGTTTGGCAATTTTTCCCAAAATGTAAATACACAGGTGGCTGGAGGCGACATGGGCCGGAGTGTGGTTTATGTAAATAAAACAGAAGTGAAACCGCGCCGCTGTGTTCTGGTTTCCACGCGCAGCAGACTCACTCAAACGCAATGTTTGATACGCAGTCGGAGGGAAGACTTTAGAGCTTAACAAGAGGTAAGTGTCACAATTAGAGTTAGTAAAGCGCTTTCGCGGTTACCTGGTTCGACCTACCTGCGGGGTCACGTGTCCTTTAAAGTTTTACCTGCTACAACTTTATATAAATCTAACAGCCGCCATAAACATATGTTTGAGCTGAAAGTAGTTGCCTACGCTCAACAAACTTAAGCCTCCTATATTTATTTTATTTAATATATATATATAGCTATCGCCTAGGTTCATTTTGGCGCTCACTTTCGTGCATGTACTTTTGGTTTCCGAGCAGGTGCCAGCTGTGCGGTCATGCCTGTGCTCAGGGCCTCTGCGGTGCTGCAGATCGCGCTGCTGCTCTCCGCCGTGCCCGCGCAGTACTTCATCTCCCGGTGGAGCGGCTCCTCGGCGGCGCAGCGCTACCATGCGACCACGCGGTGAGATCAGTGCGCCAAAAACCGGCTTTTATTTACCGCATCGAAGTTTGCAAAAAGGGGAAAAACGCCTTTAGTTGGCTGGATGTGAATGCCCCACAGTAGCCTTTTATGTGAACTATTAGATAAAGTGGGACTTAGCAGACTAAGGACTGTTGTGGCCGTTTTCTTTCTGTTTTACTAATAAAAAGAACATTTTTGGTTTCAGATTGCTTCGAATATGGAGAGAATGGAGAAAATCATACATGAATGTTACTGCATGGTCAGACTGGACAAGCCAGCAGATGTCCAAAGCCATGTGAGTGTTTGAGATGAATGGCATTCAAATGAGGACTGAATTTAACCTGAATCATCGCTCGCTCACTCGGGATCTGAGGCTACAGTTATTTGCATAATCTTGTTTCATATTCAAATCCAAATTCAAAAAGTGATTTCTGGTGTTTTTATGGAAACACATGAGTTGTATTTAGAGACTGGTGATGTATTTGTTTCCTGAAGGTCTCTGGTTGGATTGGGACAGGAAGATCAGGCGGGACAAGGGTCACCTCCCCTGGAGACCATGCTTTTTGACAATGACCTGGGATTCTTTGGAGGTTTGTGTCTATAGCTCTGCTATACTGAAGCATTTTTAACCAGCCACATGTGATACAGTCTGTCCATATCCTCATTCTCATAGGTTAATGTGAAATTTCACCATCCCCATCGAGTGCAATTAATTACCAAAAACTAATGGATATTTAATTCTAATTTTACATGTCCTCCTGAATTATTGCACTTTGAAAAGCACTACATTTATAGTAATGTGCAAAAGTCTCAAACCATCCCTGATATCTTTATATTTTGCAAGGAAAATAGGAAATAGATGCAGTGAAACATACATGGAAATACAGCATTTCAGAGAGCAGAGTTTGTATGATCCTAAAAAGCTTGAAAATCAATATTTGGTGTGCATACTTTTATTCTTCAACACACAGCCTGAACTCTTTCAGCCAAGCTTTCTTGTTATTTCTTTAAGTAGTCTTCAGGAATAGTTCTCCAGGCTTCTTGAAGGACATTCAAAGCTCTTCTTTGGATGTTGGCTGCCCTTTTGTTCTATTCTCTGTCAAGATGATCCCACAGTAATGTTGAGGTTCAGGCTCTGGGGAGGCCGATCCATGACTGATGGTGTTCCACCATCACCATCCACTGCATTGGCTGTGTGTTTGGGGTCATTCTGATGAATTAAAGCTGTTGCCAGTCACACATTTTCCAGATGCTACTCTGTGGTGGATCAGAATATAATGATGATGATGGTACATTGCTGTTTGTAAGTCCATTGGTTTTGACAAGATCCCCATCATCACTGTATGAAATGCTGCCCCAAACCATGGCGTTAGATGGATCAGCTGAAGATGCAGCTCTCAGGCCCAGTGTCAGGTTTTTGCAGCATTTTCTTCCGTTTTGTGACTTTGGATTGCTGTAGGTATTTTTTTTAAGGCCTGTCGTTTCTTTTGCCCTAAGAATCACTCCACACCATGTTGGGATATAACAGGTTTTTAGCTAAGCACTTTGGCAATCACCTTATTAGTATTTGTTTTTCTGACAACGTTTACCTCCAAAAATCTGTACTTTTTATTCCTTACATTTGGTTCAACAGTATCGTTTATAGCATTTATGCTCAGGATTTAAAGTCGGCTGGAAGGAGTGCTCGTATCCGTATGTTGTGTTTGCTCGACAAACATCAGCAAACACACAAACTGTTTGTGTGCAGTTTGTCTCACGATGTGTTGCTATCTATGGGTCCAGCTTCTGTATTTGCAAGGAGAGAAAAAAGAATGAAGTGTAGCAGAGAATTTGCATTTAAGACTATGATGCTTAGATTCATTCACTGAATTCCAACCGTCTAATGCAAAGATACTATGAACAGTGTAGGGAATGTATATCGGCCAGGATAGCTGTGAAACATCTGCTGACGTCTTGGTGAATTCAGTTGTGTAAATCCACAAAGAGCAGCAGGTCAGCTGATCACAGCCTGTGCACTCAGAAAACCTAC